CTGCTACTATGCATCTGTTTGCCTTACTGAAACTATTGAACAAATACGGCTTACAGAGTAGGTTCCTGTTGTCATTCACTTCGCATAGTGTTACTTTTTGCGTGTACAGTAGATGTTCGATGCCGGGACTTCGCAGTAGTATAGCCGTACCTCAAAGCAGTTCTGGATGCTAGCTGTCGCGACTCGAATCGTTCTATTTTGCCGTGCACCCTTCTGCAGCCTTTTGTACATCTTGTGAATGATGGAAAGTTATAGGCCTAAGGCATACTTTCTGTGATTCCGTAAAAACGCTATGGCGAATTGGCGTTTGCCGGATTTCCACAGAATCAGCGTGAGCGGGTTTAAATGCACGAGTGAGTAATTTCTGTGAGTTGTTGCAAAAGCATGGAATCCAACCCAAGCAAAGGGCTTTTAAGATCAATAATGAAGAGTCTTCGCGATGCCAGATCGCGCAGCGACTGAATTCGTCTGAGGTATGCCTTCGGTCTTACAGCTGTAGGGTGGACAGATGTAGCTTGAACAAGTAGATTCTTAGAGCTTTCATTTCTAAACATTGATTCGAACAGTGCCATTAGAGAGATTCATCTGGGTGTGAAGAAAGGAAAGCCAACAATGAGCGGGGGTTTTCGTGTGAGCTTGATGTACTGCGACTGCTCTTTTAAAAATCTAAGTATTGTTGCTCTGTTCAATTTTTCAACCTCTCTGCTCAGATAAGCTTTGTTTTTCACAAACAGTCATAAGATTTTATGGCACAACCCTCGTACGTTTACGGAGCTAGTTAAAGCACAAGGTGCGAAGCCTGGTGAGTGAAAAATGCTGTTGTAGTGTGTGGTAGCAACACAGATGAATGCGGAAATGTATTTGGCAATGATTAAACAGGACATCCCTTTAATCCCCAGTCGCTGAGGAGTATTCCGAAGTAGTGTCTATGATCTGTCCATGCTTTGATGGGAAATTTTAGTGAGTTGCTGCACTTCGTGTTGGATCCAGCTTCATCTGTAAGATAGAATGGCTTGTTTTCAAGTGAAGTATTCAAAAGCGGAAAAAGTCTCATAGTTTCTTTACCAAAGCACACTTCGTATTTTGAATCAGGCTGCATGCCATTCGGGAACCATACCTTAATGAGTTCGCAATTAGGGACCGCCAGGTCAGAAATGCTCTAGGTTGCAACAAATGTTCAAATGAGAAGTATGTGAAAGTTTTCTAGGTTTTTTTTGCTCTCAGATTGTATGTTCCTTGAGACGTGGATAACAAGAAGATCCCTTAAAAAATTGAAAGGCAACAATAGCAACCTCTAAAATAAGCGTTTTGGGAACAAAGAAGTGAATGTGCACTCGGGATAAAATGAGCTGTTAAAATCTTGATAGCCCTCTTAAAAAGCCACCAAGTATGACTTTTTATCCAAGAGTATTTATTGAATGTGGTGCTCTAATACTCATCACTGCTCCATTGAAGCTCTAGAAAAAACTTACGACTACTTTTGTCCTACTTGCACATGTATTTTTTGCACAAATAAAATCTTATAAATTCTCGTCCACAAACGTTCCGCAGATTAGGAAAGCATTTGATCCAGCGTTTTATGCTCTCAGCTATGGTATACATTACATCTAAAAAAGCTACTCCGACTAAACAAAGTTCCTTCAATAGATCGATCAAAAAAGGGATGTAAATTACATCTCAGGACTTGACGGAGATGAGGGCACTGTCAAATTGTAATTAGTAAGGAGAAAAACATGCCGATTGTACTCTCAAGTGAAAAACAAGACAAAATCTCAGCTGGAAAAGGCTGAGTTCAAATAGTTCCAGACAGTATACAGAAACATTTCCAGCACAGCGCTCGAACTGATCGCTGTGCTGGAACTGTTTCCCAGACTTCCGGATCAGTATGAACGCATAAAGTAAGTGAAGCTTAAGACGAGGGTTTAGCGAGGGCTGAAAAGTAAATCTTCGAAACTTTGCCGCGTGATCCAACCCAAACGCCTCATCAAACTTCCGCCGTTCAAACCTCGTTGAGGCGCAATGTGTTGAGAAACAATCCAACTTTTTAAAACTAATTCACCGACTTCTACTTCACCGGTCAGTATTCCGCACGAATCTGACGGACATCACTGTTGGTCAGTCAAGGGCAGTGAGTCAAGAGCAACACATACTGCGCTACTGTAGGTCGCATTGTGACATACAGTTTGCTCCATTCGAGATCAGGCAGAACCCTCAGCGCAAATTTGCGCACTCGCAGCGCTAGCGGTCCGCGCTGCTTATGCGCGCTGTCGTAAAGAGCAAAAGGATTGAAGAGGAGCAGAGAAGCAGGCCATAGTTGTGACGGCGAAACCCCAGCGACCCGGGGCTCCCACCATGCCAACTTTGGCCTGGTTGGGATTGGGGCAGACTGAAAGAGGCAAGAGATCGGCCGTTTGTGTCACTCGGTCATTTCTGTTGTCCATACTCCGCTATATCCACTGCAGCCTCTAGTGGTTTTCGCGGAGATTTTGACCTCGTGCACTAAAATTGTACATTTCATGTTCAAAAAATCGCCATCATTATGTACCTCAATCTTATGCTCGCCTAATGGTGATGACAGGTTTTCTCGTCTTTTATTAACCAGGTATTTTCCACTAACACTTAGAATTCTTTCAGTTTCTCCTATGTACGTCGTGCCACAATTCATGCGTTCCAAGTGATAAGCGATACCCTCAGCTCAATCGCCTTATTTCCGTAAGGGCATACATGCATTTCTTCGGTATATATTCTACGTCATGCAATCTGTTTCAAACAACTTTCTGATGTTTACTGAGAATGTTGCACAGCATAACCCCATTTTCAAAATGTGCTACTATGCATTTGGTTTGCTTTACTGAAGCTGTCGAACAAAAAAAAACATACAGAGAGGGATCTTATTGTCATTGTTCTTACTTCGCATGGGCTACTGTTTGCGTGTCCAATAGATGTTCGCTGCTGGGGCTTCACAGTGATATAGCCATTCCTGCGAGCAGTTTCAGATGCTAGCTGTCGCGACTCGCATTGCTCTCTTTGGCCGTGCACACTTCTACAGCCTCCTTTCATGTAGTGAATGATGAAAAGTTTTAGGCCTACGGCGTACTTTTCGCGATTCCGTCAAAGCGCTATGGCGACTTTGCGATTTGGCAGATGTCTACGAATCCAAGATGCCATAAAGTCTGGCACAAACAAAGCGCCTTTACGACTAATGATGAAGAGTCTTTGCGGTGTAAGATTGCGTAGCGACAAGATTTCTATGCCTTCGACCTTACAGCTGTAGCGGAAGCATGTAGCTTGGACAAATATCATTTGATTCAACTGGCTTGGCATCGGCAAAGGCAAGGCTTTCTGACCTAATTAAGGCTAGGTAGTGATCAGAGAGCACTCGCGCGAGAGAAACGCAGGTGCGTCGCGGGCGCGAGCTGTCTCAACTAGACCACAAAACTCCGCCCTAATGGTGCCAAGCCAGTTGAATCAAAAATTAAATTATTGAAGCTTTCCTTTAAACCATTTGATTCAAACAGCGCTTTCAGAGAGATTTATCTGGGTGTGCAGAAAGGAAAGCCAACAAGTGTGCGGGCTTCTCGTAAGAGCTTAATGTACTGCGACTGCTTGTTTAGAAATCTGAAGATTTTTGCTTTGTGCGATATTTTGCTCTCTCTGGTCAGGTGAGACAAAACTCTATGGCGCAACCCTTGTACGCTCATGGAGCTAGTTAAACACAAGGTGAGATGCCTCGTGAGTGAAACATGCTGTTGAAGTGTGTGGTAGCAACACTATGATACCACACACTTCAACAGATGATGCATATATGTATTTGGCAATGATTACACCCTATACCGAACACATTTTGATTCCATAGTCGCTGACCTTCTTGTCAAAGTACTTTGTATGATGCCAAAGTATTCCTTTTACATAAAGTTGGTTGCTGCACCTCTCGTTGGATTCAGCCTCATCTGAAAGATAGAATGGCTTCTTTTCCAAGTAAAGTATTTGTAAGCGGAAAAAGTCTCAAGGTTTCTTTACCATGGCAGACCAAGAATTTTGAACGAGGCCCATGCCATTCGGGAACCATACCTTAATAAATTTGAAATTAATGACCGCCAATTCAAAAATGTTCTAGATTGCAACAAATGTTTGGATAAGAAGTAAGTTTTCTAAGTCCTCTTGCTCCCAAATAATATGTTTCTAATAGCGTGTATAAGAAACGAGACCCTAAAAAATTGAAAGGCAAAAAAAGCAATCCCTAAAATTATACGAATGTACGATAGAGCCAAGCAAGCTCTTCAAAATGACACCAGAGAACGCAAAAATCGTGATACGTAAACTTTGAAGCTAGATCTAGAACATCTAAGCGTCCTAAGGGTCGAATCTCCTGAACAAAAATCATACATAACTCTTACGCATTATAAGCACTTACTCGATGTTTTTATGGCTGATAATTTCAACAAAAAAAAAACGAATTGCCAAAATCAAATTGCTCACTTCATACTTATGGTGACTGTAGTATCCGGGTTTTGAAGAAAATGGTAAACGTGGAGAAAATGGAACATGCGGCACTGGATCTCTTTCGTTGACGACCCGAAATGCGTAGTCGATCTGCGAAAAAATAATGACCAAAATTTCAGACCTCACGACAGTTTGTTAAGATTTCTCTTCTTAGTTTCTAGATTTTTCTATACTATCTCACGTTGAGCCATATTTGAAAGTTTCTAGATTTTTCTAAATTATCTCACGTTGAGCCATATTTGAACGATATGATACAAACTTCACACAAACTTGAAAATGTACAAGTTTCAAAAAAACTGGAGAGAATTTCAAAAAGTCTGCGTAGAGTTTCAGAGACTTGAAAACTCATGCTAATTGTGCTTTACTCCACCATCAGGCACAGTGGGTAAATAAGCACGAAAAAAAATGAATACGAAAACGTAGTGGGAGAAGTGAATACTGGCATACGGAAGAAGAATAAGAACAAAAAAACTTATATAAAGTAGAGGTGGTAGTTTTTAGTATACTGACATAGTGTACTGACAGAGCAAGGCAGAGCGGGTATTCGAGCATGCTGTGTAAATGATTATGTAAATTTCTACCTTTTTATTGAAGTCTTCAGCATATGCAGCATTGCCTGTTCTTGGCTCTCCGAATGTTACCAGCTTTATCCGCTCATTTATCCGCTCAGATATCTTGTTATAAGTTTTGGCGATGTGATACGCTGCCAGAGACGCCATGGCACCTCCGAGCGAAAGGACGGTCACCTAAAGTTTCTGGTCACATGAAAACGATCTTTGTGCATTCAATACATACCCATATTTCGTACTTAGGGTGTCGTTCGATCTGGTTCTTGAAGGCACGTTCTAGACCTTTTACGCCTTTTGCGTCATTTCCCCACACATTTGAGAAGGCATTGTAGAAGTACCAAGACACTTCACCTGACCCCATGGGGACCTTAAGCAACAGCTGATCTACGCACCAATTATTTCACACAAATTACCACAGCAGCGCTGGTGGCAACTTCGTTTTTGAGTTGACTTAGATAATTGGTGCCTCTGTAATAATAACTGTTGAGCTGCAGGGAATTCCAACCTGAGTGTCACGTTCGGCGCAGCTCGGGTTGCCGCTCCCATCGTGGCATCCAGACTGGCATCCCTGAAAAACATTTCCAAGTTCCTTTACTTAGCACGTGAACGAAGGCAGCGTTTTGGAAGATACAATGCTTTGCAATCTTAACATAACATGGTATTAGTCCCCCAACTAGGGACACTGATCCGAAGCAATTTCTTTATTTCAAATAGTCTTGCAAGATTTGCACGTCTGCTCGCTGTTCTACTTGGTGGGTATTCCCTAGCTCTAGCATTCTGTAAAGTTCTCTATTTTGAAAAGGATTACACAAGAAGTTCACAAGCGTTATGAGTGAATTCATTCATCGGTCTGTTTGGAGACGTGTGGACATTTTAGACGTGATTTATATTGTAAGCTGCCGAAAGCAAATCAAACGTTTTGTTTAGAAGCAGCGTTGATCAAATCTAGACTTATGCGGATCTCACGTTGATAGTAATTTTAGGGCTTTAATCAAGACACTGCGACTAGACACTGAGCGGCAGCTCAGATTCTGCGCTTGCGGCTGAGATTTTCATCTTCAAAGCAGACCTCAGTGTCTCAGTAACGGACAAATGCTGCAAATGTTCTTTAGCACAGGCTGTCTTGACTAGCACGAAAGTGATGGCGAACGAGGTGTTTGCAGGAAAGCTTATGCGAAACCAAAGCGGATCCGAAATCATGATTAATTATTTTGTCGTAATGTGCTATCAGGTCGACCTTGTCGATAATTTACAACGGCCTCCCCTCAAACACTACGCAGGAAGTGTATATGTGCTGCGAGGTTGCTCGATAATTGGCCCACGAATCTGGTCAATACCAGGTAGTTCTGTTCAAACCCATGAGCCCAGAAAAGTGATTATGAGCATAATATTGGTCGCACTACCCATATCCAACATGTGCTTCTTTTCTCGTCCTTTTCAGCATCACTCCGAATAGACCACCAGGTGTCATATTGTGACGTAAGGCAGTGATTTGAAATGTTGGTAACAGCTTCAGTGCGTGCGCGTTGAAGTTTTAAAGCGCTCAAGCAGAGCAATGATCATTATGAGAGCGTATTATAATTTAAGCTTGCCGCTTACGATAGTCACCTTCACTTTTGAATTATTTGAACGCTAAAACCATACTGGAGGGCTTTGGCCGGCCGCAGTCATACCCCTCCAAAAAACTGACAGAAAGACCGCAACTAGCAGAGCTGGATTCAATAGCAATGTGAGTTATAACGCATCCGTCCGCACAAGCATATCCTCCTATATATCGTATGCAACATCGAACACGAGCCGCTTCCACTGAGATGCTTGGCTCATCTCCTGCTGACGACATTACAGTCTTCTTTTGTGTTCACTGAAGTGGGCGGATAGCTTAATTCCCCGAAGATAGACGCTGATATAAGCGTTGCACATGTTAGCTTCAGAGCGAAGCTTTCGGTTCGTTATCTAGCCAAAAATTATTGTAAATACGACTGCTGTAAACTGAAGGTAGAGCTGACCTGAAACTAAGAACTATCGCCGACTGTTCGGTTAGTGTGGCTAGGAATCCATAGCAGTCATTCTCAAAACCATCGCATTGAACAAGATTATGGTCAAAAAACTGAAAAAAAATCTCGTTACGAATATTCTGGTGTTTCAAAATGTAATATAGAAGTTTTGAGGATAATTTTATTATTCAGTTATGACAAACGTACTAGCGTTACAACCTTTCAAATTTCATCTACAAACGCAGAATCATTTTGCTTCCTGCATGTATTGCAAGCACTATGCACCACTAATTTTATGAATATTTACCTCACTGCTGGGCAAAAATACCTCATATCATCTGATAAGTTGTTGAACTTTAAATTAGAAAGAAAAACTTGGAGTGACCATTTGAGCTTAGAAGTATGACACTGAAGTCAGTCATGAATGCTGAATAAAGCCGCAATCGTTACCTACCGTACACTCTTCTGAAAAACTTGTAGGTCCAACTGAATGCACTATTTGGTACAGCACTGCAGGTGGTGCAGCAACGATTTAATGGTGCCTTGAGTATGGTCTTTATGGCAGAGAAGGTTCCAGGATCGAATCTTTTCACCGCCAGCTTTTTGTTGAGATGGCAGTTTTCATCTGAGTTCATCAACATAAATCTAACTTCAAGCGGCCATTACTAAAGCCCACATGCACGTACATCCCCGTGGAAAGGGGAGGGGATCTGAGAGGGGACGCCACGTATTTCGCTACTTTAGATACCTTCTTTCTGCTTTCTCAATCTGGTTACGAACTCTCATACCCTGATACCTGCGCATAATAGTTGCCATGGTACTGTCATACAAGAACACAATTTCACTATCTTGTGTGATCCGCTGGAATCCTCAAAGGATCACCTCTCATTACAAAGTCATTTACCTTCTCAAAAAGTCAACGAAACCGTTGGAACATTGTGCTGAGGATGTAGTATGACACTATCGAACACGACTATAGCTAAAACAAGTAAAATCCCAGAAATTCAAAATCTTCGATGAACCACTGCTCGCGAGCTAGAGATTATCGGAAATTCACAATCTTTGAATTTTACTTCTCCCGCCAAAAACATGTTTGGCTGTGCCAATTATATCCTCATTACAATTTCACAGCGTTTTCGTTGAGTTTTCAGAAAGATAATTAGCGCTGAAAATGAGAGTTTTTCATTATGTTGTGTGATCCCCCTGAGGATCCCCATGGCTGTAACCTTGCATCCATTATACGCACGTATATGAGAACCTTCCTAAGTCAAGTAGAGAAAAAAGGTTAAAGATTATTGTAGTAGCGAGATATGACGCTTCCCCTTTCAGAAAATTCTCCTCCCCGCGGGGGGGGGGGGGGGGTGCACGTGTATGCAGGCCTGAAAGCGCTTTCCTTTTTAAGGCATCTCTCCATTTACTAACAAGAAAAAGCGTACTTTTTCTTTCGAGCAATTAACGCACGCGATAAAGATCTGCTTTAACATTTTACGCAACGTGCACAAGCAAAGATGTTTGAATTTTAAGCAGAACTTTCTGTACTTGCAAATAATTATCATGCTCAGCTCGTGCTGTCATGTCCTCTTTCGAAGAAAAGAGCAGATATAATAAAAAGCGAATTACCAAGTTCCCATGAGTTCCATTATAGCCTTTGAAGCGATTGAGTATGCAGCCCCTTGGCTCATCCGAATAGGCGGCGGCAGCCAGAGGGAACATTTGATTCCTAACGAAGTTGTAGTCAAATAATCTGACAGCATTGAGTGAAGCCGCAAGGCAAAGTGTAACGACTAGTGTGAATGCCCTGCAGAAACATTAAGCTCATCTTCTATGTAGCTCTACGTCCTTTACTTACATATTAATCGTTTTGTTCGCCAAGAGGCAACGGTATCACGGATACTAAGATCCAAGCCTGTTGCTGAAAAAATGAGAAAATTAGACGGATTAGTGTCGTCTCTGCCATTCTGCAATTCGATATATTTCTTAGAAATGAAAAGAAAGAGAGAAATAGTATCTGGCTGCGCAGTGGACCGATTATGATTGTTTCCGTCACGCAACGGTATCGTGATGTCCTCAGGATATGTGACAAAGTTGCAATTGTTACTCGTTTTAGAAAAGCACACTCATACTGATTTGAGTAAAGCGAAGGTCAGCGAGAATTGATTGAAAATGGTTACAAAAAAGTTTTCGGTTTAAGACTAGCTATAGCTTGCCTGTGAAATTCTAAAATGAGCACAGTTACTCGCACCACTTTCTAAACTGAATCCATACTGCTAAAACAAGGGTATTGTTTTTGTAGGAGAGGAGTAGGGATATTTGGAAGTCAAATGCACAGCATGTTTTGTAGATATTTCTTACATACTCTGCGCTGTAATAAATACACTGCATTAATGCCCTTAATTTTTAGTGGTCGTCGCTCTCCTCAGCGTTCTTTTTTTCTGGCTGTCGGAACAAATTGTGATTTAGCAGCTTAACTGCTGCAAGGTAGGTCAATGGCAATTTTTTTAGTATGGTTTGTTAGGTCTCAGTTTGATGCGTGATCCCATTATAGATACGTCAAATTTCCGACAGCCCTTTTTAATTTTAAAATTATTCTGGTATTTGAGCAGACGACAACCAGTGATTGCTGATGAATATATTAGGTTGTGTAATAAATTCTGCCCCATTTTTTCTTTCGATTTTTTTCTCAATAATTCCCGCGATGTTCGGTAAATGGTTTATATGCATTTGAAAGCTTTAAGCCTTTTTTTACTAAACTTTCAATTCGGGTTTCTACATCAGATGACATGAAAAAGTTCTACAGCGTCAAATTTGGAATATCAAACAGGGAAAAAGTTCACTTTCGACAACTACGTTACGTCGCCTTCCTAATTAGTCAGATTGCCTACGAATAAGCTTGAAGAATTTGCTACACGTGAGCAAAGAATGCTCTAACTTCTATTGCGCTTCAGGAGTGCTGAAACTTTTCAAAAATCATTTCTGTAGACTTTAGAAAAAATTCTTCTTTCTAACGCCGTTTTTAACGTTGGTGTTGGGCATCATCTGAAAGCATCCTGAGGAAGACGGTAGGCGGATCATCTAAAAAAGACAGAAGGGATAGTTTGTGGCTTTAAAATTACCGAATTCGTAGGTTAAATACTCAAAATGCTAATTTTCGGAGCTACACAGCTTGGGTACGCGAGACGGCGAACATCGCCGTAACGAAGTCTTGCCTTGCCGACTTCTAAAAAATGTCAGGGCTACTTATATGGAAGTATTGAAGCAAATTTTTTATGCGATCTTTGAAACAGAATATAGAAATCTTGCGCAAACTTGAAACGCCTTTTTTGGGCCTTCCCATAAGTTCGTCGCGTTTTCATTCTTGTCTTAATTTCAGGGCCATTGACTTGCGGCAAGCTGCGCGCATCATTGAAAAGAGCCAATCATACTCTTTATAATCAACGCATTGATTTCTACGAAAAGCTAAACCACTTCGATTTTTTAGCTTACAAATGTGGAGTTTTCAAAGGGTAAGAAGCATTTTCGATGCCTGCCCGCTTTTTTTGCAAAGTGTTTTTGCATGGTTTGCCTTTTTTTGAATATAAATGGAGCTTTCCCTTCAGTATGAGACAAAAAAAATTAGATTGCTTTAAATGAAAATGAAAATTTTACGGTAAGGTGGCAGAAGGTTGTGCGCAACAACGGAAAACAAGGAAATCGGTCAGTAGAAGTGGCCTTGTTAAGTAAGATGTTGTTGGCTTTATTGCATGAAGGTGAATCTAGCTATCTTCAAAGCTTCCTCGATGAGGAGTTATGAGCGTTTACTGGTGCAATAATTTGAACAGCCGTAACAATTTTTTTTACTATCGACTACAGCAGTGAGATCTTCACGCAGCAAAAACTTCTAAACAACTTATATACACCTGCTTTAATGGCTAGAAATATTAGATTTTATCTTAGCAGCGCATCCACGTCTTGCTTCAAACGCTCATGAGTCTTCACAGATAGAGCTTCACAGAGAGCTTTACAGATAAGGAAAACATTTGAACTCAGCGTACCATGCAATCAAAACTTCTCTTTTTGGAAAACCATTCGACTAGTCATTTTCTGTGGTCGGGCACATGACAGACCGCATCTCAAATGAGTACATTTTGTACTATAAATTATACGTATTCGGTATGCGCTGCGCTATCTGATACTTTTGTTGAAAACCTTTGGCATTACTAAAATGCTATCCGATGCCAATCTTGAATTGCTAACATAAGCTGCAGCAGCTAGAGAGAGCATGGTATTACGATCAAGTCGTAATAAAAATATCAAGAAAACTTCTTCGTTGTGCTTAGCGGAAATATGATTTTTGTACTAGGAGCTTAAGTAAACCACCAGATTTTGGAAACACATAGGAAGCATACTTAGTTCTGTGAATTATTAGAATCTACGGTCTCAGATCATTGTACAACTATCGCTCCCGTTGTTCGCGGCAAAAGTGTATGATGGTGCTATCTCTGTTGTGGTCCTTTCAAAATCTCCATCAAATCGTCAAACTACCTTACTTAAAATTTGTGGTTGTTTTAATGGTTTAGTTCTTCAATCTCGATCCTTTCAAGTAGTTGCGGTTCCTTTCAAGTAGTTGCGGTTTGATTAAGTGCTCACATATATCGACAAGAACTAATTTCAAAATCGATGTGAAGAATTCGTCAAAACGTTACTTTTTACTGACATTAGGTTGTTGCACTTAAGCACTGTTCACACATGTTGGTCAGTTGTATCTCGAGTTCTGCTCGGAGACTTGGTGCTCAAATAGGTTCAAGTAACTTACGTCGAATGCTCATATGATGCGGACAAATCAGTCATCACTATGACTTTGCCGCTGTTTTACGTTCCTGTTCACTTCTCATTTTCTTTATACTTACTGAAAGCAATAACAAAGTTTTTTGCTGCTATTATCGTAGTGTGGACTCTTAATTCCTGAATCCTTGAAAAACTTCGCAGCGCGTTCAATAAAGCACTAACAGTAATCTTTGATTCAACTGGATAGGCGGCTGGAAGCCGAGACGTTCTGACCTAATCAGGGACGCCCGCGACGCGTCTGCGTCTCTCCCGAGCGCGCTCACTCTGATCATTTCCCAGCTTCAACTAGGTCACGAAGCCCCGCCTTCCAACCGCCAATCTGGTTGAAGCAAAGAGTATGTAACAAGGATGTGAATTTAACTCTCCGATTGCGGGAGTGCTGTATACAAGTACAGTCGAGTAGATTTTCTGTTTAAAGGCAGTGGCTCGGCAAGACCAAATATCTCGAAATTTTCATGAAAGATTGCTTGCACTCTCAACATGCGAACGGTGCAGGTCCGAGCGCACAGCATGCTAGCTCTGCCTAAAAATTGGTCCTAAACCCGTGCACACAAGCTACTCTAACACACGCTCGGACGAGCTTGCGATATCTCTCACACCGTCAGAAGCGGCATGCCGCAGTGCTTGAACATGAGGATCCCGCAACGACTCTACGTATTTAACCGTGGCGGGAGCGTTCCGCTCGTTCAGATTCAAAACAAAGGGTTTTGAGAAGTGCTAGTTACCGCCATTTTCGCGCTCTTCAGGTTGAATTTTTGGATTCAGCGCGTCGAATCACCCCAAGTAAGCGAGAAAACCACAGATCGAGATTTGCCGAGTCACTGCCTGTAATATAGTGTGCTTGCACTGCAGGTAAATTGCGTAAAACCTGCGCGTAAACAAGTAGCTATGCACGTGACGGCATTACTGGCTGGCTATTTGTTCATGCGCAAATTCTACCGCATTTCACTTGCTGTGCAAGCACAATATATCAAGCGGAAAATCTACTCGAATGGTAGCAGAATTCATGATGGAAATAAAATAACATGAAAGCAGAGTGGCAGCAAAATGAAGCCACTTCGTTGAAAACACTCATATATGCGTGACGCACAATGGACACCAAGCTTGCCGCGGTTATTTGCTTGTTATCAGGGATTTGGAGCGATTTGGTTGTCATTCTTATCTTATGCTGTTGTCCTTTCAATGTTGGACAAGGCCGAGTACAATCTCGTTTTTTGATAATATATCTGAAACTAATTAAAATGCTGAAGGGTGTAAATGAAACAAGTAGATGCAAGAATGTGTATTCTTTTCAAGATTATGCATCAGTTGTGCAGATATCTTTTTTACGATATTCGTCATCTACGACACATCCACTAATTCCCCATTCGCTGACGTACTTTCCATAATAGCACTTATGGGTATTAGAGAAATCGTAGGTAAGCCAGTTAATCTTATCGCTGCATTGACCTGTAATCGGAAGATGTGTTGTTGTCGATAAACAAAAACCATAATTTTGTACCGGGGTTGCACATTTTCCCTTTCCCTGCTAACATGTCTTGCCCAGAGTAGTAAACCTGAATAAGTTTGTAAGCAGTAGTTGTATTAGAAGTCACTGGTAAAACAGCTTTTTAGAAAACCTTCCCATTTAATAGCTCAGTTAACGAGGAGCGGCTAAAACATAACAAAGAGCGGCAAACATGGGCGAAAAAAGGAACTTTTTACAGCAAACATATTTATCTCATTTCGAATGCGCTTTTTTCCTAGGCAAGTTTGCTTATTTGCATTTATATCCTGTCACATGCAAGCCGATTTGCTTGTAAAGGTGCGCGGGGTGAAATGTGCTAAGAATATTTCTAGATTGTGTGATCAAATTCCTTGTCTCCTTTCACCATATAGGTTGCAACAATACAGAAGTAGATAATAGGTCACTCCAGAAACGTTTTGATTGCGATCGCACATTCACTACATTCTTCGCGTTCATATTCTACATGTCCTCTGACAAACTAAATCACCACGCCGTATTTAGATGTGCTTTCCTAAGCTATACATGCGAACGAAGAAAAATTGCAGGTTACCGTGTGGTCAAACAAAAAGAACTTTCTCGAAAAAAAAAGTTTTTTGGATACTACATGCCTATAAGTAACAACGAGTCAGGGCCCCCTTGCACATAGTATCTCTCTCAACGAATGCGCTACACACAACTAGCAAAAACAAGTTTGTTGCCAAATTTTCTTTTGTGGTTTCTTTTGCGGTCATTCTCAGATCTCTTAATGTCCTTGATAAGGTGAGCTGAAGATCGAAACTGGTGACTAAGGCATTGCCTATTGTGTTAGGCGCGTGGAAAAGTGGTGCAATTGCGACTGTGCACCTTCATTTGTCGCTGATTTGCGTATTGGCACGCCAATTGCAAGATTCCCTTGAATAGAATTTTCTTTAACTCAATTTGACAATTTTCTGTCCACTTGTTTCATCGCGTAGACACCAACTTAAACGATTATTAGCCGAAAACTACTACGAACAGAGTGCACCGTAATGGAATGTTTCACAATGCTCACCTCCTGTTTATGATGGCGGTATCCGAACTTTTCGGGTGGGACATGAGGTACCCCATCATTGGCATGGATGACGCGGAATGCATAGTCGATCTGCAAAGGGTAAAAACCAGTGACAGTATTAGCTCTCAAATTAGAGATTGTTTTAAGACTTTATACTAAGATAGTCTAAGCATGCATAGTTTCGCTTTTTGCTTTGCATAGTAAAAGAAATAAACTCTGCTTGTAAAGACTTTCGAATTTCAAGACGTGTGATGCTATTTCCCAAACCTCTTCCTTACTTTTTTCTTTCTTTACATGTTCTAAATAGAATGTTCGTAAGCGCTAAATCTTATAAAATTGTTTCCTTCTCCTCTTTTTCAGATGACCGCGGATAGAATAATGTGCGGAAAATAGGTGCTGCTCAAGCTTCGAAAACTTTTTTACACACAGATGTGCTTGTAGTCGTATACCGTGTTGTCATACCGTTTTATTAAACCTATCAGCAAATTCCTCGTCGCCTGTCCTGGGCTGGCCGAACGTCATTAACTTTATTTTTGAGCTCGGTGCAAATCTTTTCTCCACTAAATAAGATGCCGCCAGAGATGCCAATGCACCTCCCAGTGAGTGCCCAGTTATCTGAACTCACATAATAAGGAAAATTTTCTCCTTAAAGCGCGTACCCAAATCTCATATTCTGAGTGTTGCTTAATCAGATCTTTGACATCATCATACATAGTGCTCCTTTCTAGTTTATCCATTCTCGTGTGAAACAAGTCGTTGAAAGCACTAAGGAAGTAGGTGTTCACCTGCGCAACACCGAGCCATTCTTTCTATAAAAAAAACTTCCGCTCATACAAGCATTTTGTGATAGCTTGACTTACTTCTTGACTCAATCTACAATGAACAAGTTCCTTGAAAAGCTGCATGGGTGTGTTTGTCCCTCTGTAAAAAACAAAGTGTAATATTGTTGAAATAAAATTGGTACCAAATATTATCGTTTTATATACTTATTGTTAGGGATAATTATCGGAGGTACTTGCAAATAAAGGTAAGCCTTAAGTCTAGATTAGGGTCCTGCACGCACCGCTTAAGCTTTTCCAAAACAGAGATACTACTTACCTATCATTAATTTTACAAAGGCTCTTTTGAAAAGCAGCGAGCATACACAAAATCACATATATTAACGAAATGGAGCAACAATTTTCAACTTATTTACGTTCTTGATCTTGAGAAGTATGAGTAAAATTAGCGAGCGTAGGTGGAATGCATGTGCGAAGGGAAAGAGGAAGAAAGAGGGCAAAAATACGAATGTTGACACCGCAACTGAAAGCTTCAAATGCGAATTCCGCTTCGCTTGAAAACGCTTTAAGGTAAGCGACACTTGCAAATGGCATAGTTTGGAATGCAGTACAGTATAGCGAGCTGTTTCAATTAGAAAAAGAAAGACAAGGCTGGGTCAGCATTCCTGTCCAAGAGTAAATTTTTGGATAACCTCGAGAGGTCATGAGTTTGGTTCTGAACTGCAAACAAGCTAATGTTTTAACCTTGCTTTTTTCAGATCGCTTGCTGAAAAAACACGGTGAAGCATGTCATTATTGTAGTAACCTCTCTTTAAAAGTGTGTTGGTCTACTTGGTCGCTCATATGCCTGTATGACATTTTTACGAAATACATTTTTCTGCCAATGTACGAAGTTTAGCCTGCTTCTAACACCTCCGCCGCGGGCCCTAGTCAACGCCTATGTGGATGGTAATTATCTAAAGCAATGTTAATGAAGCCCTGTAGTCGTTCAAGGACTTATCATTGAACATATAAAGACATATAATTTCAAAGTAACCTGAAACTCAGCACTATTGCTTTCCTACTGGGTAGCAGGGCCGTATATGCCGCACATGAGACTGATGCAGTTCCGCTCCAAGGGCCTTTGCAGTCCACCTTGTAAAATCTGTAGATCTGAACAATCTTTGCTTTGAAAGCATTATCTCCTTTGAAAGAACGAAAAATCTTTTTTTTATACTAGTAATCACATTGCTCATTCCCAGTCATTAGACTCTAGTGCACATCATCACACTTTGTAGCAGCTTTGAGTAAAAGTGCAGGCGATGAGTGTAAAGGTTAGAGCTTGGAAATGCTTATTTCAAGACCTTGTCTGTATGAATGCGAAAATTACATTTACCTATATATGGCCATGAGTATGTTAGCAGCTTCGCCTGATTTAATTTGATTTTTGCCATGCCATGCTTCACTTTCTTTGTTACCTATGTGATGATGACAAATGTATGCATGGCAGCTGTGAATACGTGAAGCATATCTTCTTGTGTCTTTGATGGGGATAGTCTCTGTTTCTACCCTTTGATTCAACTGGATTGGCGGCTGGAAGGCGGCTTCGTGGCTCAGTTAAGGCTAGAGAATGATCAGAGAGTAAGCGCGCGAGAGAGACGCAGATTGCGTCGCGGACGCGAGCGGTCTTAATTCGGTCGCAAATACCCGCCTTTCAGCCGCCGATCCAGTTGAATCAAAGGCTACTCCCTCATGTGCTCATTTGCCCCATTCACTTCTTACTTTCAGGCAAAGGCAAAGATTTTGAAAGTTAATACACCTATTCCGAAGAGACAAATGTATTTGCATACGATGTGCTATTCCCTACTTTCATGATAAGAATCACGCCTTACCTGTCCGTTAAAGTGATTTCTGACGCATGCATCCGGATGGTCTGAATAAGCTGCAGCAGCCAGAGGGAGCATGTTGTTGTAAGCGAAATCATCGGAAAAGACGGCGGAATGAGCTCCGACCACCACAAGCGAAAGCGTAGCAATCAACCCAAACATCTTAAAACTTTTAATGAATGTTAAAGTTTAAGAAAGCGTAAGCAATATCAGCACAAACTAGGAAGAATTGAAAGAAGGAATGCAAGTGGGAACGAGCCTAGCTGAAGCGAGAGCTTCGCGCGTTGGTCTGCTTGAAAGCGCTCAGTTAAGGAAAATAAAGTTTTTGAGGTTTAGAAATGCTCAGAAAAATATAAAACAGATTTGTACTCGAAATAACTTTGATATGAGACACAGTGTAAGCAAATGGTATGTAGCTCAGCTGATATCCAGCTGCAGTGGGTAAATTTGGGAATAGTTGGGCACTCTTTCGTTGTGTGCGCCAAGTTCAGTGCCATATCATTGAGTTATGGTTGTATGCAGAGCCTTTCTTTGTTTAAAGCATAATTTTGAATTCTTCGCTGTGCTGAAACGCGCAGTCCATCCCAGTTTGACTTGTTAAGACTGATGCACATGTCTGGAACAGCCAATGAACAGTTATACCGAGGAAAATCTGCGTTACTGTAAGCCCTGCTAGCTTTTCTTTATATGCTGAGATGTAGACACATAATTCCGTGATTTTTCAGTACTTTGCTAAATGCAATGCAAAAACGATATCCCCTTTGCCTTTCCTAACGACGAAATCCCGGTCCCAGGTGTTCCGAGCCGTGACCTGTATCACCGCCCGTCACAGGCGACTGTTGTCCAGTGTTGGAGTTTGCAGCAGGAGAAACAACCTGAATGACTTCAATGGACTTTGTGAACATATTTGACAACCGTGTCGGCGGTCTCCTTGTTCAAGTGAACACCCTCGTCACCGCTTGCGTCAAAGCGCGTTAGGTATCCGGTTCACCTAGTGTCTTTCTATCGGCACATGCTGTCGTGGCCCTGAATAGTTGACGTAGGGTAAAATCTCGTATTCTGCCTACCTTCACTTGCATTGGTCAGACTCCCAACATCACCAAATGATGAGACAATTGGTGACGCTGATTGCATGTTAATCTTGTTTCTTCATAGTCCGTGTTTTGCATACGTCAAAACAGCAGGAACCGTAATGTAGACGAGCTAAACGAGAAGCCGTTTTTAGTCTCTTCTTACTATCCTTCGAATACATATGTATATAAGGAACATATTAGGTTGCTCCAGAAGTTCGTAGCGTTTTTATAAACCAACAAAATCATCAATTTACAGTAAAAACCAATAGAAATTGTATTCCTCGTTGTAGCGCACGACCTTTTGGCACATTCTTGTTAGCTTCTCAACCTCAATTTTTCAAACGGCAGCGCGCCGGGTCCCAAGAAAATCATCTAATCAGCGCTCAAACTACTTACTGAAATCGAGACAGGCACCATTCATGAGGTTTTCCGAAGAGCGAAGCAAGTAATAAGTGATAGAGCGAGGTTTGAGGAGTAATTTGTGCACTGAAGTATCTTCCAGTCAAATCGTGCAAGACAGTTTTGACGACGTTTGCCGCATGAGGCCATGTTTCATCATGCAGAAAAGCTCACTAAACCTGCCTGCTAAGCTTTTTCTGCGGTGGGACCTGGTTTAGACGGTGCAGTAGGATTGCTTACGGTATGGTTGACTATCACTTACCTGTACAGCAACTTTTAGTGCAGGACGTCCTGCGCGTCCCCCGAAAAGTCTTGATCAGGGACACCCTGCTCAGCCCCTAAACTTTTATAGCAATCCAAGCCTTTTTTGTCACATATTGATGTGCGAGCGCCATGTTCCATAATCGACACAAAAATCTGTGCAAAAGCGCTTCTTTTCATGATGAAAAATGCGCAAATGCCGAAATTGCTCCTTTTTGCCTTCCAAGATTTCCAACTTTGGAAGCTGCGAAATCCAAGTAAGTCAAAATTCCACCGAAATCAGTAGGCGTATCCTAAAGAGCACAATCAACCCTTTCAAATGATATACGCATCTTGCCGCAAACTAGCCGCTCCTCAAGAACAGGAGGAAGGACGAGAATGAAAACGCTACGATCTTATGGAACGACCTAATACAATCTGAGAGCAAGAGAACCTGGAGAACTTTCACATACTTCTCATTCAAACATTTGTTGCAACCTAGAGCATTTCTGGACTGGCGGTCCATAATTGCGGACTTATTAAGGTATGGTTCCCGAATGGCATGGAGCCTGATTCAAATTACGAAGTGTGCCTTGGTAAAGGAGCTATAAGATTTTTACCGCTTTTGAATACTTCACTTGAAAACAAGCCATTCTATCTTATAGATAAAGCTGATCCAACACGAAGTGCAGCAACTCATCAAAACTTCCCATCAGCGGATGGAAAGATCATAGACACTACCTATCCCTCAGCGACTGGGGAATGGAGGGATGTCCTGTTTAATCATTGCCAAATACATTTCTGCATTTATCTGTGTCGCTACCATACACTACAACAGCATTTTTCACTCACGAGGCTTCGCACCTTGTGCTTTAACTAGCTCCGTAACCGTACGAGGGTTGCGCCATAGAATCTTATGACTGTTTGTGAAAAACAGAGCTTATCTTAGCAGAGAGGTTGAAAAATTGAACGAGCAAAAATACTTAGATTTTTGAACGAGCAGTCGCTCTACATCAAGCTCACACGAGAAGTCCCGCTTACTAGCTGGCTTTCCTTTCTGCACACTCAGAATTTTCCTCCAGGGAGGGACTGTAACTTGAAAGAAAGCTGCATACCCAAAAGCTCCGGAGTTGTGGATTTCAAGCCCTTCTATCCTCAAAGGCAGCGTCTCGCTAGACTGGGGTACCTGGCTCTGGGTAGTAATGTAATAGTAGATCCCCTAACTAACCGACGACAGAAGTTTGCAGCGCGAAAGGGGGTCTGCGAATGCCCCTCAAGTGGCCCAAATCTTACGGTAGGCTCAGGCGAGTGCGGGATGCATGCAAGGTAGGGACGCGGAGTCGTTTCGGGACCCTGCGCTCATGACTGTGTGCGCTATACACACTCTGGCCTTGCAAATCGATAGCTGTGTGGGCGGCGTCCGAGCCTACTGTAAGATTTGGACTACTTTCGGAGCAAATTTCAAGCTTAGTAGACCTCCTCTTTCCCTCCGAACTTCAGTCATCGCTAAGATAGGGGGGTCTACTTTGACATCGCCACAATCCGGCACTCTTTTTGCCGGAACGCTGCCTTTAAGTGTTGCTACTACTCTCATATAAAAGTACTAGCTGGCATATAGTGCTCCGCCCAAATCTATCAATATACTATAATGAAGGACACCATTCCCTCGTTCTATACAACGTTTGTTCCTGTACCACTTCTAGATGCAGTTCTCTTAAACTTACCACATTTTTGTCATCAGCATGCCCGCTTAATCCCGTATGCGCGTACATGGTAAATTTTGTTCCCCTGGGGATCCCAGGAAATCACTTCTTATTTTCGACGTAGGGCCGCATGCACTACCACCTCCGCTGGGGAGGGATCACGGTTTATAGAAAAGCTTCACTTCCTGGAGCTCCAGTAGTAAATTTTATGCCGTCCCCTATTCCTAGGTATTCTTTCCATCCTCCACGACAAACATGTTGAGAGGGAGTAAGAATCTGTACGAGCAGTATACTTGATAGCAGGGGCATTCGTCTTCATAAGTTCGTAGGATTTCCATTATCATTCTCATTCCTTTAAGAGGTAAACAATTTACGCTGAAGTACGTACGTCCACAATTGCATCCACTTATCTACTTAATACTTTCGTGACCCTTACGGTTTCTTGAAAAAATTGGAATTTTTTTCCAATTTTCGTAACGTTCAACGTCTTCTAGGTACTCGAAAACCTATCTGATTTTTTTTCCAAAGTTTTACAGCCACCAAACTACTTTCACATTTTAGAGGTAATCGCTTTTTCCCAAACATTCACCTATTTCGCTAGATTTTCTGGAAGAAAATTCTAAAGGTTTTCGAAGCTTCGTAACATCCAAACACCCGTAAATATTCGAAAACCCTTATTCTACTAGTTCTAAAAGACCTCAGCCACTTAATCATTATTTCAACAACTCTTAAACCTTTTTACGTTATCTTCGCGACACTCATCTATTATTCTGTGCCTTCTTTTAAAAAAAATCCTAGAATTTTCTAAAATTTCCGACCTTGCGAGCATTCAACAATCCTTAAGAAGCACCTTGAACATTTCTAGAAACCCTTAAAAAATTTAAAATTTGGGCCTAACATGCTTGAATACCTTCCGCCTTATCCCCTTAACACTCATCTATTTTTCTTAACCTTCTCAAAGAATCCTAGAAATTTTCAAATTTGAAATACACGAACTTTCAAAATCCTTCAAAAACCACTTTTAACATTTTCAAAAGTCCCTAAGTATCTTAACCAAAGCCCTAACATGTTTAAATACCTTTTATCTTATGCCCCCAGCATTACTCAATTTTTCCCGATTTTTAAAAAATTTTCGAAATTTTGGTCCGTCACTTACACAGTAATAAGTGATTTTTTCACTCCCAATGTATTCGCGTTGACCAGCGAAAATTCACCATTATAGGCTGTGCAATATATTGCACGACGATACAATATATTGCAAAGTCTCTTATTTATTGGGTGAGACCCACTGGAAAATTGAATAGGCTCAACCAGTAATCTTTACCCCGCCGTACCGGGCCCCCCATTAACCCCTGCCCCTCGGACCAAGTTCCCCCGGACCATTTTCACCTGGAGAATTTTTTGGTATTAGCCCCGCCCCCTTAGCCCCGCCCACTCTCGAGTTATGGCCTGGTCTTGAACCGGGTTTCTCATAACTCGCTCCAGAGTGATCCTAAAACTCTGAAAAAATTATGGTGTAGTCAGGCACGACTATATGTATGTGTGCAAAATTGCAGACCCCCAGCTTTACCGTAACCCAAAACCTGAAAAACTGATTTTTGAAAAAATCCATTTTTTAAAAATCATCCATAATTCGCCAAAAAATCACATGAGATAGATATCGTATAGAAACTACTAAGGGATTTTTTCCGATTTTTTATATTGCATATGAAGAGGTTTTTCTGAATTTTGAAATATTTTTTTTATT